GGCCGCACGCATGCCAGGTGAGCGCGCTACCGCTTGAGCCAAATACCCAGCCCCCTGAGTTGCTGGTATTACAAATGTGTGCCACTGTGCCAGGCTCTGTGGTGGTTGTTCTTCAAAGGCTACTTAGAATAAAATCCACACTGGTCTCCTCTCCTACATCATCTTGTCTCTGACTTCACCATCTGGCTCCAACTACACTGATCTCCACCCTCCCACACATACACCTTGACTCAATCTTGGTCTAGCTGCTCAGTAAATGTTTGGAAACTATCACCTTTGTCCATCCAGCAAGGCAGCCTTCTCTGCATAACTCCATCTAGGGCCCAGAATCCCCTCTTCTTCTTGTCTGGTGTGAACTAGGCTCAGCTGATTCTACCACAGGATTCAGGCACTTTCCATGATGGCTCCACACATGCTACCACAACTTAGTACTTAAACCATTCACAGACTTTGAAGTGGTCCCAGCTTTGTCTGTGACCCTTATGTGAAAAAAGAGGACCTTTGGTAATACTGCAGAAGTCCTAGGGATTTGAATTCAAAATAGTTATCTGTGAAACCAGGGAGAAGGTCTGGTTGGAACTCCAGGGCTGGATACCACACACACACACATACACACACACACACACACAAAAAAAAAAAAAAAAAAAACCACTGGCATTATTGCTAGAGAAAGAGAAAATGAATGGGTGGTCCTAGGTTCTCTAAACAGCAGCAACCACCCCAAGACCTGGGGATTTCCTGTCCATTTGCACAGCTGGACAGAAATATTTAAGTTTCCATCTCACTGCCAAGGCMTTCAGAAATTCAGACAGATCCAGTGAAGGTAGGCACCACAACATTTTTGGTCATCCAGAAGGGCCATGGTCCACACAAGGCAGCTGTTGGAGTAGCCTTCTCTAAACAGAACTCAGGAAGCACATTTGTTGGCTCAGAGCTCTATCTATCCTCTCGCACACTTGGTATACCTCTCTGTGTCATTCTGAATCCATCACAGCTGAAGATGTCCAAGGTCAAGGTGCCATGGGCTGAGATGTGGCCAGGGCTACTTGGGTGTTGAAAGACAAGGAAACCATGAGGCTACTGGCTCCTTATTCCATATGTATTCCTGCTTAGATACGCTCCCTAAATTATTAACCAATCCCATGGTGAGGAACTTCTATTATAATTAGTGATTTTAAAATATCCCCTGCACATTTATCTCAACACATTTATTCAACTCTTTTCTTAAGATACATTCCTAAAATTGGGATTGTTGAATTATGCACATCTAAAATTGCTGAACCGTTCAACATCTCATTGCCCTCTTAACTGCTTCTCTGGTTGCTAATGAGGTGGAAGGAAGTGTTCCCCTGTACTGATGGGCCATTTGCACTTCTTCCTTTGTTCAGGAGTTGGACTCTAAGAAAAGGAGTAGTACATGGAGCTTATGATAGAGGAAGAACCTTAAAGAGGGGATTRGRGAAAGGGGAACATTTGTATTTTTTTATTCACATCAGGTTTTTTTCACGTCACCACCTGACTTTGTGACAGGGCAGGCAAAGCCATACTCCCATTCCCTGTCTCCACTACTGTCGAATTTCTTCCCATCACCATTCACTGCAGAATCTGCCCACTGACAGCCACTGGGTACAGCCTGCAGAGTTCAGAGACTGCTTCAACTTTTCTACAGAGCCTAGAGGACACAAGGAGACATCCTGTCTGGAACACAGGATGACTTCTCTCAGGACCAAGAACCTAGAGGCCCTCTATTTACCTTCTAGGAAAGTCCTGTGCAGGTGTGGAGGTGGAAGGGGAGCCACAGACATCAAAGGATCAAATTGGGTCAGGATATTAAGGCAACAAATCGACATTTGGCATCATCCTCCCCATTTTGGTATTTTCTTCTGATTCTTTTCATCTCCTCTTCTTTTCTTGACCCTTCAGAATATTTGAGGAGTGAGGGGAGGGCAGGGCTTCTGTAGGTATGTGTGAGCTTCTACTTAGAAGCTGAGATAAAAAGAAGATGCCAGATTCCAACATAATTCCAAGATTATCTCCATGAACCATGGTTTCCCTTAGACCACTGTTAAACCTAGCTGTGCAGATGCCCAGAAGATGAGTCCAGGACATCCTTCACAAATATAATACCTGCTTTCACTCACCAGGGCCAGAACTGTCTTGTGGTCCAGTCACAATTTCAGCTACCATTCACCTCTCTGCCCTCAGCACTCTACTTGGGACATATCAGTGGGAAAAAAATTGTTACCACCTCCCCCTGCTAGAACAAAGCTAAATATTAAAGATWAAAAAATCACCTTAAAATAAGCTGTTGATGAATTGCAAATATCTTTCCCCAATCTACCAAGAACCTAACCAGATAAGAAAAATCCATAATTACAAGGACTGAATTTTTTTAGGAGTCCAATTATCCCATGAAACAAAATAAAGGATAAAAAGTGATCATGGTGTCATGCATCATTTTTAGTCAAGAATAACTAAAGACAATTTTAATGACGGTGGTTATATTCAGTGGACCGATATTCTAATTTATTTTTGGTATTGTGATAAAATAGTGCATGTATGTTTTTTGTACTAATCAAGGCATAAAAGGTGAAGGATGTCCCCAACYTCACTCCCAACCTCCTCAGCAGGTTGAGGTTGCAGGGTTTCCCAGGGCTTTAGGATGATCATATGCGAACTGGCATCTGCCTTCGAGTCCACCCCATTCCTCTGAGGGAACACCCCAAGACTGTCCCTTTGTCGGGATTGGCACCCAGCACCCAGCAGTCTTGGCTCCAATGGGGTAGGTGTGATTATCCCTACTTCAAAGATAAAAAGCCAAAATTCAGAGCTGGGATTGTGGCTCAGCGGTAGAGTGCTCCCCTAGCATTGGGTGGGACCCAGGTTCGATCCTCAGCACCACATATAAATAAAGGCATTGTGTTGTGTCCATCTACACCTAAAAAATAAACGTCTTTATTTTTAAGCCAAAATTCAGCAAGGAGAAGTCTATCTGCAGTCACAGAGCTGAGGTTCAAACCAAGTCTCATCACCCTGCCTGGGATGGAAGTCCTCAGACTCTTCTGACTCCTCCAAACCCTCCCTGAGTCCATAGCTTTCTTGAACCTTATCTTCCCACCGCCAGGACTTCCCAGAGACCGCCAGGGGGCGCG